TTCCCCTTGTGCTGTGCTGAATTCCCACTGAAATCCTCAGGATTGATGCCTTCCCTGAGCTTCGTGTCCGGTGTGTGGATCCCGTGGATCAGACCCCGCGGGGTTCCTGTTGTTTCATGCCCATTATCTCAATCTTTGCCCCAAATCCACGAGATTTCTCCCGGATTTATTGCCGGGGCTGGATAACCCAGCTCAGGCTTAGCTGAGCCAGGCTTACCGGCCCCTAAACCCCGGGAGAGCAGGAACAACACGTGGCCCCCCGGCTGCTCCGAGGGGACGATGCCACGGGCTCCCTGTCCCTGTGCCAGCCCCGAGCCCGCGGGAGCTGCCCCGGGATCCGCCGGGAGCCCCCGGAGCCGCTCGGAACGGCGAGCGGAGCACCGAGGGGCTGAGCCCCAGCCAGCTGTCAGTCCTGGTGCCAGGAATGCTGCTGCTTCCAGTAGGACTCCAAAAAAATTCCACTCACAGGAAGCAGTTTCCTATTGATTTTATCTTCCCCCCCCTTTTTTTTTTCCTTTTTCCCCTTTTTTCCCCTTTTTTTCCTCCCTTTTCCCCCCTTTTTTGCCCTTTTTGCCCCTTTTTTTTTTCCCCAATATTTTTTCCCCCTTTCTCTTTTAAAAAACAGAATATTCCAAAGTTGTGGAGAAATAGGAAAACTCCACGCTGGCTCCTCTGCTGAGAACATGGGTGGGATATTTGGAATTCCATTTCTGATTCCATTCGTAATTCCATTTTTAATAGGAAGCCCTTGGGAAGGTGTCCACGGAGAGGGCAGGACATACAGAAATTGTATTTATAGATATAAATTATATTGATATAAAATGGTATTTGATATCTATTTTATATTTCTCTAGCTATATTTCTCCATGGGTGAGGTGCTCACAGGTATTGGATAAATGGCCTAAAATTTCCACTTATTTAAAGGAGGTTTTCCTTGGGTAATTCCTAATTCCCTACAATTTTCAAGTTGATTTTTCTGCTGAAATGAGGCAGGGTTTTAATCTCTCAGGAAAACAAATCCCTATTTTTTTGATGGATAACCCGGCAGTGAGCGGAGCCCATCCCAGTGGCAGGAAAGCTGGGATGCGGAGATGTTCACTCTGCATCTCCTGCAGCCCAACTTCAGAAAATCTGGGATGCAAAGCCAGGGATTGAGGTGGAATTCAGCTGTTTGAAGCTTCCCACAAATTCCCTGTGCTCCACCCAGCAGCACCCGTGTGTCCATTCCTGGGGGTCTGGGAAGTTCATCCCGTTCTCCCTTTGCTCGGGAGCTCATCCCAAATATTTCTCAGCTCTGTGGTGCTTAATTCCTGGTCTGATTTTGGAATTCCTCTTTAATTTGGCATTAAATTTGTCTTTAATTTTTGTTTAATTTGCTGCTGAAGGGAATCAATAGGGCTCCATTCTCATTTGAGCCGTTGGAAATCGGAGGGAATGATCCTTAACTATCCAAAATGCTGAAAATCCAGGGATAAAATAACAAATACATTTAAGCAAAATCTATTTGGAGCCATTAAAATTCCAATGCCTGATAAAAGGCCTATTTTTGTTGTCCCCAGCCAGGTTTTCCTGCCTGACCAAGCCTCAAATCCCAAATTAAAATATTGCAGTGGAATTCTTCCGTTAAAAATTATTTTTAATATGAAATCAAGGGAAATATTGAATTAAAATATTTGAGAGAATTAATTTCCCTTCCTTTTCTCTGCTTATGGAAGAGTTGCCTCATCCCTCTCATCCTGCTTCCCAGAAAACAGCCAAGGTGCCCTTTCTCCTGGGCAGGGATTGGGATGACTTGCATTTATCCTTTGGAAGTTGCTTCTATTTCCTCCCGGATTTAATCAGTTTTTCCAAGCCCACCATGGTTCGAGTGGCTCTTTATGGATTTATGGAATGATTTGGACTGGGCTGCTTTTATAACAAAAGCACACAGGGAATATTTTGGGAGAAAGGGGTTCCAGGAAGAGAAGGCAGCTTTTTTCCCGGAGGTATTTAGGGAACAGGGAGTCGCAATTCCGCGTGTGCCAGGCAAGCGGGAGCGGCTCCGAGTTCTCCCTTTGTCTGTGCCGTGATTGGCATTGTGGCCATTCACTGAACATCCCGAGATTCCCCCCATGCTCCGGCGCTTCCCTGCCTTCCCCAAACCCACCCAAACTTCCTCCCTGTGCCGGCCAACTTCCAGGCAGAGCTTTGTTCCCCCAGCCCCAGATCCTCCGGAGCGCCGAGCTGGGAATTCTCAGCACGTTGGCACAGCTAAAAATCCACCCTGGCCCTTCTCCCCCTTCCACCCTGGCGATTTTCCCCCCACGCCGTGGGGTTTTTTTTTCCCAAATCCGGTGAGCGGGGCCTTTTCTCCAGGAAAACGCGGCCGCGGCCGCTCAGCCAGGAAAAGCGGGAGCATGGAATGCTCCGCTCCTGCCTCTTTTGAGGAGTTTTAGCCATGGGGCTTTGGCACTGCCACCCTTGTCTTTGTGCCAAAAAATATCCGCAGCGGCTGCCGCATTCTAGTACTGGAGGCTTGGCTCGAAAATTCCGCAGTGGATGCGGCGGGAAGCCGCGGCGCTGAACGCTTTGCTTTCCCCCGAACCCTCCTGCAGCCGGTCGGGCACCTGCACCTTCCGCCTTCCTGACCCTCAGAAAACGCTGAATTCCCGGGAAACGGGGGCAAATTGAGGAGCGGCTTTTCTCGCCCGAGCTGTCGTTGTTTAAAGAGCTGGGTGTTGTCACAGGGCTTTTGGGATGTGCCGCGGGAGCGACGGGAGCGGAGGTAATTGGGAATGGATAATTTATAGGGAAGACGTTCCCCCTCGGCCCACCGGGAACGGTTTGATGGTTACGGGTGAGGGGAAAATCCTCAAACTCTCCACAAACTCTCCACACAATCTCCACACAGAATCCATGCAAAATCTCCACAGAATCCCCACAGAATCCACACAAAATCCCCACAGAATCCCCACAGAATCTGCAGCCGGGGCTTTTTAACAATTCCCGGAGTTCTGCCTGGGTGTGGGATGTGGAGGAGGTGGCTTTTGGGAAGCTCCCGGTGGCCCCCTCAAAACTCGCTCCGGAGCTCCGAAGCGCCGGGTTCGGTGGGAGAAGCGGCCACCGGAGATGAAATCTTTCCCGAGGAGCACAAGCCTAAAAAAAAAAAAAGCCAAGTCAATCTCCCGCTGGCTGCGGAGCCGCTTTGGTACCTCGGAGCCTTCGACAGAGCCCTGGCCGGGTGCCCATTGATGTCATGGAAACACTCAAATTACCGGGAATGATTCACGTCTCCGGCGGTCCCTGTTCCTCCCCCACGCGGGCGCAGCGCGGCCGAGCCCTGACAACTTGTAATTTGCGGGGGGTTTATTTTGGTGCCGGGGTAAATATTTCTGCCCAAACTCAAATTAAGCCGTGGCTGAGACGATGGCAAAGGGGCTCCTCAGGTGCTCCCGCTCGCTCCCCTCAGCCCTTGGTTCCTTTCGGGAATTTTTTACCCCCCCAGTCCCTGCCACTCATTGTTCCCAAAGACTTCCCAGCCCTCTCGGGGCGATGGGAAGGGGACGTGGATTGAACTGTCCCATCTCAGTGTTGAACTCGTGGATTCCCCGTTTGGATTTCATTGTGGTTTCAATCCTGACTTAGCTCCGGTATTCCCAAGCAGAGGGTTATCCGTGATCTTTGAATACCCAGCTCCAAGCCCTTCCCAAAGTTAGGCCTAATCTCCCATCCATCACAACAATACTTGGGAGGTGCTCAGGTATTTTATATGGAAAACAACTAAACCGAGGAAGAAACAAAAGACTCCAGAGACTTAAATTGGGATGGGGAGAAGGAATTTTGATTCCAAGCCACTTGGAATAACCAAACTGTGTCCACAAAGGGCCCTCAGAGCCGGTGGATGGATACTAAAGGCTCCTGGAGTTGGGATGTGGCCACTGATTTCGGGAATGATTTCAGTGAGCCCCAGCAGCCTTTGTCTGACGGTCTGCCTCGCCTTGGCTTCTTTATGGAATGTGGCTGGGATTGGGAATATGGAGCCCGGCAGCAAACCCGGCTCCTGGGTACGGAGTGTCACAGGGAATCACAGGGAGGATCCGCTCCCTCGTGCCGGGTGCTGCACACGGGGCTTTGCTGCTCCAGCCTCGGAACACTGGGAATTTCGGGGGGGATTTTTCCTGCCTCCTGGATGTTTTGTCAGCGGTGCCTCCCCCCTTCCCCTGCCGGGCTTCTCCTCTCCCGAAGGGTGTTCTTTCCCTGGCAATGTGTTTGGGATCAGCTCTCTTGCCTGCTCTTTGTCTGGGAGCACGTGGGGCGCTGCTGCTCAGCCACCACTTGGTGCTCAGCCACAAACCTCCTTTTCTCTCCCTCCCTTCGCCCCTTTGATCCCAAAGAATCCCCTTTGCTGCCCTCTGGAAAAGCAGCACGACTGAGGCTGCAAGTCAGGCTCTGGGATGGGAGCGTTCAAAGCTTCCTGGGAAAAAGGAGAGGGAAGCAAAAAGGGGGCTTGGGGCGGGCACAGAGATCCCCACTCGGCTCCCGGCCCTTCTGGCAAATTCCCAATGCCCAATCCGTTTCTCTTTCCCAGGTGGATCATGAGGGAGTTTTCTCCTGGGAAAGAGCAGGGAAGCACATCCCCAGCAGCTCCTGGAAGCTGGGAGAGCCGGGAGGTGGGAATGTCTGCTGCCTGGGTGGGAGATCAGCTCCCACCTTCACCCAGCCCGTGGAATCCCATAAAATCCCAGGTCCAGGAGCAGAACAGCCAGGATTAGGAAGCTTAATTCCCATCACCATCACCAGGAAGTTTAATTCCCATCCCATCCCTCCCAGCAGGAAACCTGTGAATCCCTTTCTGTGCATTCCAGTGGGAGCAGTGCCTGGTTTATCCATGGAATGTATATAAATACACATGGAATCGGCATTGGGAAAATGGGATGAGTGTCACCTAAAGTGCTTGGAGAAGCTTTGTGTGTGTTCCTGTGCTATCCGTGTATTTACCTGGATTTTCCCTCTCTTCCCAGGTAAAACAGAACGAGGTTCCTACTCATCATACGGACGAGATTCCAACTTACAGGGCTGCCACCAGGTAAGTGCGAATCTGCTCGGAAATTCCCACTGGAAAGCTCCTTCCCGAGCTTTTCCAGCCAGGATACAGCTCCTGGAGGCTCAGCTTGGCTTGACCTCCTCCTACCCCAGTCAAGGCTGCTGGGAGGCATTCCTTGTGTCCAAAATCCCAGTCTCGGGAATGCCACCAGTGGGAAGAGCTGGTGTTGACTCGTGGCTGCTCCCCTAAATCCCGCTTTCCCTGGGATCTGGGGCAATGCCGTGTGCACATGAGGTTGGAAATACGATTTGCTGTCCCTTTTTGTTTGGGAATCGCTTTTGGCCAGGAGTCAAGGCCAGCAGGTGAACAGCAAAGCCGCCCCATGGGAGCTCGGGAAAGAAGGAGGGGTTCCAGGGAATGCTACAATTCCAGTGTAACACAAAGGTATGGCGTGTGTGCCTCTGCCTCCCTGCACTCGGAATTCGCATCTTTTCAAGTCTCCGGAGGAATTCCCGGCCTAAAAACACTCTCTGTGGCCAAATTCCCGGTTTTGTTCCCAGCCAGTCGGGTTTTTCTAAGGACACTTTCTCTCCTCATTCCAAGAACAGTGTTAATGGTGGGGTTTAATCCTTCTGCTCCTTCCTTTCCCTTTTCCGAAAGGTGGCAGCTTCAGAAAAGTATCCAAGGGATTTAATGGCTTCCTTAATATTCCAGGCTTTACAGGCTTCAAATCTGCCCGGGACAACTCAGAGCAAGCGCCAAAATGGGGATATTTTAGGCTTACTTGTTCCCTGCTTTCCATATTCCTTGGGAATGTGGGGAAAGGGTCTATCCTTGTGTTTTCAGGATGAGGCAATTTGAGGAATTCCTTGGGAATTCCTGGGTGTGTCGGGCTGTTGTGTGACCATTCCCACCACATTCCTCAGTGCCAGGCTGGCACTGGGAGAGTTGGAAGGGAAGGGAAGGCATGGAAGGGGCTGCCCAGGGAATGGTGGAGTCCCCATCCCTGGAACTGTTCCCCAGATGTGTGGACGTGGATCACAGGTGACCCTGGATGATTGGACTTGATCTTGGAGGGGTTTTCCAAGCTAAATAATTCCATGATTCCAATGGAATTATGGAATTATGGAATTATCCCACCTTGCTTAGGTGGGATCACACATCCAATTCCCTGGGGAAAAAGCTGGAATGATGTGGTTGGGGTTTGTTCATTCCAATAACTCGCTTTCCTTGTGTTTTGATGGCAAAATTCCTGTCAGGATCATCCTTCTCCTTCATTTTCCCTTCTGAGGTAAAAACCAGCCCAAAGCTGCGTGCAGGGGTAAAATAATGGGATTTGGGAAGCCACAAAGGCCGGCCGTTCCAAGGGCAGGTTGGATGGGGCTTGGAGCAACCTGGGATAATGGAAGGTGTCCCTGCCCAGTGGAACAAGATGATCCTTAAAATCCCTTCCATTCCATGATTACTTTGTCCATACAGGAATTATGTGATGGCATTACTGTGACTGTGGGATGGGGCAGCCACAGCTTCTCTGGGAATTCCATCCCAGCCCCTCACCACTCTCCCAGCCAGGAATTCCTTCCCGATATCCCATCTAACCCAGTGGGAAGCCATTCCCTGTGGCCTGTCCCTCCATCCTTTGTCCCCAGCCCCTCTCCAGCTCTCCTGGAGCCCCTTTAGGCCCTGGAATTTGCTCCGAGGTCTCCCTGGATCCTCCCCTTCTCCAGGAGAACACCCAGAGCTCTCCCAGCCTGGCTCCATGTCTGAGGGGCTCCAGCCCTCGGAGCATCTCCGTGCCCAAGTTGGATGGGGTTGGGAGCACCCATGGAAGGTGTCCCTGCCCACGGCTTTCCGACCCCTCCCACCCCAAACCATTCCAGGATTCCATGACACCCACGGAGGGACCATTCCACCCCAGAGGTCCCCAGGATCCCCTTTGGAGCCTGGAATGTCCCAGGGAGGCCCCCAACTCCCCCCCCGCTGTCCCCAGGCCCCGGTGGCTCCTTCCGGTGTCGCTCTCATTTCCCCTTCCCTGCTTTATTTGGGCCCGGTGTTCCTGTTTTTTTGGGCTCAGGGTTCCTGTTTTTTTGGGTTGGTTGTTCCTCTCTCTGGGGGTTTTCCCTGTCGCCGTGGTGGGATCGGGAGGGGCCAGCAGGGGGTGTGGGATGTGGGGCCCCTCAGGCAGAGGAGCAGAGCCCAGGACTCCCACACAGGGATCTCAGGGACTCCCAGAAATGCAGAGCTTGGGTCCTTCCTGAAGTTCCTGACGGAATTTCACCCTCCATCTGTAGTTTCCCAGCCCTGCCTTGGTGGCTTGGAACTACTGGCTTCCTTGGAAAAATTATCCTTTATTTGTAATCCCTCTCAGGAAGGAATTCCTGGCTGTGAGAGTGGCGAGGGGCCAGGATGGAATTCCCGGAGAAGCTGTGGCTGCCTGGATCCCTGGGAACGTCCCAGGCCAGGTGGGATCACCTGGGCTATGGAAGGTGTTCCTGCCCTGCTCCCACATTTCAAACCCTCGGGAAGCGCTGCTTTTCCCCGGCTCCTCCCCGTTCCCTTGTTAGTATGTATTCCCAGTTGGAATCAATCACTCCGGGGATATGGTTCCGTGCTGACCAGTCTTGGACAAGCTTTGCAAAATGATTGATTCCCAGCCCAGCTTTGGAAAACTTGTGAGCAGCTCCATGTGGAGCCGGAGCCAGTCCCGCTCTGGCTCCTGGCAGCGCCGGGGGCTGCAGGAGCAGCCATTCCCTGCAGGCCCGGAGCCGGGAGGCACATATGGAAGTTTCTACTCCCTGTCACGTTTGCTGGGCATGTGGTACCTCCCTGCTATCCTAACGCCGGGACTGACGGGATGGAGCGCGTGCGGAGCAGCACGGACAGCTCCGGAATTACAAACAGCTTTAATCGTCCTTTTCCTAGGAAAAGGATGGTACTGGGAACCGAGGCCATATCTCTGTGTCTCTGCACCCTGGGAAGTTCATTGTGGATCATCGTGGAGATGATCCAGGAGCTGGAGCCACTGCCCTGTAGAGCCAGGCTGGGAGAGCTGGGAATGTTCACCTGGAGAAGGGGAGGATCCAGGGAGACCTCGGAGCAAATTCCAGGGCCTAAAGGGGCTCCAGGAGAGCTGGAGAGGGGCTGGGGACAAAGGATGGAGGGACAGGCCACAGGGAATGGCTTCCCACTGGGTTAGATGGGATATCGGGAAGGAATTCCTGGCTGGGAGAGTGGTGAGGGGCTGGGATGGAATTCCCAGAGAAGCTGTGGCTGCTCCATCCCTGGAAGTGTCCAAGGCCAGGCTGGAGCACCCTGGGCTAGCAGGAGGTGTCCCTGCCATGGTAGGGGTGGCACTGCATGATCCTTAAGGTCCCTTCCCACCCAAACCATTCCACAGGGAGAGCTCTTCCCTGTCCCAGGGAGCTGGAAGGGCTGTGGATGTGATTCCATAGAATCCTAGAATCCTGGTTTGTGTCCCATTCAGAGATAGGGAATCCACAACCCCTCTGGGTGACCATTCCCAAATCCATGATGCTGGATCATGTCAGGACGTGGAAGCAGCTTCTCCTCTGAGGATCAGGACTTTTTTTCCTATAAATTCCTGCTTCCCATGGGTAAAAGGGGGACTCTGTTTATATTCCCAGCTGGTGAACAGGAAGAGGTTAAAAATCCTTGGAGGCTCTTGAAGCTTTTTGGCCCTGACATTCCTTTGGTCTCTCAGATGTTTTCCAGTGACTTTGGTTCCAAACATTATCCCTGTAATTTTCATAAAACACCGGGAGCTCTCTGAGCCTTCCCTGTGTTCTCCCATTCAAAGGGAAAACACGGATTCTCTCATTAAACTTGGGAATTCAGCCACGAAACCCCTTGTTAAGGAGGAGCCAGGGTGGGATGTTTCCCCTGAGCCAACCTGAGCCAGCATTCCGGTTGCAAGGCCTTTGTATCCAATGTTTACATGGGAAAACGGGATGATAAGGACCTCGGAAGGTGAGCAGGGCCAGGCTTTAAGGATTTGTCAGAATAATTTGCCAGAGAGGAACATTTGGAAGCACACCCTGGTAGAACATCCCCCCTGGATCACCTTGAAAGGGAACCGAGGCAGAATCCAACGAAGTGACAACTTTTTAGTGGGTTTTGCCGAGAAAAATATTCCCAAAATATTCCTTTCTGCATCTCACTGTTCCTCAGAGTCCTATCCATCCCCACCAGAAATGGTGACACCTCCCAGAGGGTTTAGGCTTGGGAAAAATGGGATGAGGGCACTTGCAGGTGTTTGGAATTTCAGCCTGGCACAGAAATGGTGCGTGGAAAACAGGGATACCAGGATATGTGTCTCATAATTTATAATCTATAGGAAAATCCTGATAAAAATGAGGCTTATCTGGGAATTATCCCACCCCTTATGGTGCCTTTTTTCCCCATCCATTAATATAGTGGGACTGTCTATATTTCCATATCTCCCTCCATGTATTTCCCGGGATTTTGGGGTGGAAAAGGGACTTTTTGCTGAATCCAGAGGCTGATGGATCTCAGCCTGTTTGCTCCAAAACTGGAGCCGCTTTGTTTGGGAATCTGTGAGGGAATAGCTTGGGAAAGTCACCCAGGTCGGGAGCAGGGGGAGAGGAGCAGAAATTTGGCAGGAAAACGTCAGAGCCGCTCCGTCGATCCAGGTGCAGTTGGGCACCTGCACGGGGTGAGTCCTCCCAGCTGGAAGGTCATGGAACACATTCCGTGCTCCCCTTTTCCTGGGAAAAGCCCTCATTAAACAGGGTGAGAACGGCGGGATCGCCACATCCTGACCGACATTCCCGGTGCCAGAGCGGAGGGAACAAAGCAGGGAAGTGGTGCTGGCAGGGAGATCAGAGGGATCTGGACGGGAATAATGGAGGGAAGGAGCTTTGATCTTTAATAATGTCAGGAATTTTAATTGGAGGGACGGAGCAGCAAGAAAAGAGCGAGATGAGCCGGTTTCCTGGGATAAAGGGCAGGAATTCCTAGGAAATAAGAAATAATTGTAGGATAAATCACTGGGAAGTTTAGTGGCAGAAGGAATTGCTTTAAATGGATTCATTTTGGCTCAATCTCCTGACAAATCAGTAGAAAAACAGGAAAGGTGTCGGTGTTCCCGGCGGATCCAGGTATGGGAAGGGGAGCGGGGATTGCTGGGAGCCTCCCGCTCTCTCCGGAGGCACTTCCAGCCTCACGGGGCCACCTCTCCATCGGAAGGTGGATATTCCTGCTCCCACATTCCCACTCCAGCCGGCCTGGGGACCTGAGTACCTGCACGTGCGGAGCATCCTGGGATTCCCAACATGCATCCCTGCTCCTCATCCTCCCCCTGCCCAGCTGGGAGAAACCAGGGATGTGATCCGGTGCTTTTCCCCCGTCCCGCCCTGATGCGGCTTCTCCGAGGCTTGGGGAGAAGGGCCCAGCTGTCCCTGGAGCCACATCCCGGGGATCAGAGGGGCCCAGGAAGCAGCTGGACCCCCGGGATGCTCCGACCCCAACCCTTGGCAGCCGTTCAGGGAAGGAGCTTCAGCTGTTCCCGACTCATCCCATTTTCCTCCTGCCTGTGACATTCCACGCTTGATGCCGGATCGATGCCAACAAAAAATATACCAGGAATTCAAAATGCAGGGATTTTTCCCTAATCCATGATTTTGGATTCCAGGTTCCCTTTAATCTGAATTAATTTCATTAGTAAAATTCCGCCCTCGAATCCCACCTGTTTCCACAACAAAGGAAAAATATTCCAGCTTTTTCTAAGGATGATTTCCAGATTTTTCTCGACCTCTTCAACCCAAGACAAATATTCCAGTGAAATCCACATAATTTTCCTTTAAAAAGCAGCCCTTGAGCTTTGCAGCAGAAGCAGCAGTTGGGTTTTTCCAGGAGGGATAATTTCCTTTCCATCTGGATGGATTTGGTGGATTCTCTCCCTCTCCAGCTTTAACTCTTTGTCTCGTTATTCCCGTTTTGGAGGCAGCAGGAAAAAAAAACCACAAAGGTGCAGACACACCATAAAAACAAGGCAAAAGATTGGAATTAATGAAAAATACAGGGCTGGGGCTCAGGGGGGAAAATCCTGGGAATTTAGGATTTTGCTCTGTTGTTTATTTTGGCAATTTTGGGAATTGTTTTTGGCTCCAATTCCAATCTCTGGACATGAAACCCTCTGTGAGGTCCCTTTGAAACCTCCTCCTTTCTCCCGAAATGGTGACTCTGATCCCGACAGATTCCCGAATTTCCAGAGCTGGGATTGGGAGTGGGAGGCCCTGTAATCCATGGGGGTGCTTTGTAAAGGTTTGAATTTTTGGAGCAGAGCTTGTTGGCCCTTTTATAGGATTTTGGGATAAATACGGATATGTTTTCATTCCAGTTTTCCTCCCCGTGCCGGCTGGGAACCCTGAGGCACCGGGAGCCAAACTCCCAGCAATTCCTGGTTTGGGAAGAATCAACCAACTGGTGCCTCCCAAAATGACCCCCTTAAACTTGCTCCCCGTGTTTCCTTGTCCTGTAAAAACCCCCTTTGGGATTTCTTTTCCCATAGAAACCTCTGCAGCTTTTTCCTGAGGAAGAAGTTGGGATGAGGAAGGTTGGGCTCCCTAGGGGACATGGCTTTTTCTGCTCTTTTCCTCCCCCGGCCTTGGAAAAGGTTCTTGGTGTGCTTGGAGTTGTCCCAGAGTGGAAGGAGAGAGTAGCTGGATTTAGGGATTCATCCCGAACCTCCCAGCCTTCTCCCACCAGGGATAAACCCGGCCCAGCTTTAGCAGGAGAGTTCCCGAGCCCAGCACTCCCTGACCATTCCCGAAATTCCCTTCATTTGCAGGCAGTGTTCACCGGAAATCAGTGTTCACCTGGAAAAGCTTTGAGACATCCCTTAAAATCCCATTTATTGCCAGGAATATTCACAAGAAATCCATACTTATTGTGAAATGGCCCAAAGCATTCCCGAAATTCCCTTTTTTTTCTGATATCCACAATGAAACAATATTTATTGTGAAATGATCCAAAGCATTCCCTAAATTCCCTTTATTTCCAGAGAATATTCACAATAAACTAATGATTATTGTGAAATGACCCAAAACATTCCCTAATTCCCTTTATTTCCACAGAACATTTACAATAAACTGATATTCATTTGGAAACACTCCAAAACATTCCCTTAATTCCTTTTATTTTCAGATATTCACAGTAAATTAATGTTTATTGTGAAATGATCCCAACCATTCCCTAAATTCCTTTTATTTCAGATATTCACAGTAAATTAATGTTTATTGTGAAATGAACCAAAACATTCCCTAAATTCCCATATTTTCGGATATTCACAATAAATCAATATTTACTGTGAAGTGCTCCAAACCATTCCCTAAAATCCCATTTATTTTCCGAGAATCCTCACAGTAAACCCACATTCTTTCAGAAACACTCCGAGGCATTCCCAAAAATCCTGTTCTTTTCAAAGAATGTTCTCGATTTCCCTTTTCCCTCGGAGTTCTGGCACCTCTGTCTCTATTATTCCCTATTATTCTGCATTATGCGAGAGATTCCCAAGGTTTTTCTGCTGCTGCAGGTGTTGTTTATCACCGGAGCAGCCTCGTGGCAGGTGGAGATTATCCATGAAATTAGAGAGAGGAGGGAAAACGTTGGATTTGAGATTTTGGGAGCTCTCCAGGAGGCAGATGCGGAAGCAATTTTCCTAGCAATTTTCCCTCAGCTCCTGTTTGTCCATGGGATGAGAGGAGATGGGATGAGAGGACATGGGATGGGAGGAGATGGGATGAGAGGAGATGAGCTGGGAGGACACAGGATGGGGACACGGGATGAGAGAACACGGGCTGAGGACGTGGCGTGAGTGGAAACGGCCTCGGGCCGTGCCAGGGGAGGTTCAGCTCGGACAGCAGCAGGAATTGTTCCACGGAAAGGGCGGAAGGGCTGCCGGGGGTGTGTCCCGGCCCCGGCTCCCCGTGTCCCGCCGGGAAGGGGCCGCTGGAGCCCGGGCTCTGCCGGCCCGCTCCGGGGCCCTCGGGGGGCACCGGGGCAGCCCCGAGCGCGGCTCCCGGCGCCAACAAGGAGCCCTTTGTTCCCGGGATGGCAGCTCCCGGCGGGCCGCGGGAGCGGGGGCACCCTCTCGCCGCGGGCCCGGGGACATTTGCATGTGAATGGTTCCCAGCGGGGCACACGCGGGCCCCGCCGCGCCGCCGGCCAGCGGCACTTGGGGAGGGCGGGGACGGCCCTGGGGCGGCCGAGGGCGGCTCTTGGCGGGGACCGGGCGCCGCTCCCCGCTCAGGCCTCGCTGCGGCCCGGCCCGTCCTGCTGGGCTGCCAGGGGCACGGGCACTGCCTCCCGGCTTGGATGCGCCCGGGCTTGGATGCGCCCGGGCACTTTATCCCGGGTTTGGATGCACCCGGGCACTTCCCTTGGGGTTGGATGCACCCGGGAAGTTCCCCCCGGGGTTGGATGGTCCCGGAAAGTTTTCCCGAACTCTGGAGCGAAGCGAATGCTCAGAATCCTCTCCCAAATCCGTATTTTCCAAATCCATCATGAAATCCCTGGTTTCTTGGAGTTTATCCCGTTGTTTCTCGGGAATAAAGTGGGTGGAGTGAGGTCCTCGCTGCTGCCGTGCCAGAGCCTTAATTGGTTTGGGGATTCTGGAGTACTTTGCATCCAGTTCCCAAATATTAGTGACATTCCAGCTATTTCCCTGGTTTGATTGTTCCTCCCGTCCAGCCCACTGGGGGGTTTATATTTTATAGATATTCTAGATATATTCTGGATATATTTTACGTATATTTTATATATATTTACATATATTTTACATATATATTATATTTTATCTTTATTTCACGTATATATTTTATATCTACTTTATATATTTTTATATTTATGTGACATGTATTTTATATCTATGACATATATTATACGTATTACATATATTTAATATATGCTGTATATATATTTTATATATTATAAATATACTTTATATATATCATGTATAAACTGTATATATTTTGTATATGGTGTATATTTTATATATAATATAGATTTGATATATAATATATATTTTATATATAATAGGTATTTTATATATAATATGTATTTTAAATATAAAATAGATACTTTATATATTCTACATATATTTTATCTATTTCTATATACATTCTAGACATATATATTTATATACTATATATTTTTATAGATTTTCATATCTTTTCTATATTTATTTTTATTTACATATATTATATATACCACATAATTTTAATATTTTTATATATTTTCCATATTTATATTCCTTTTTCTATATTTCCTTTATATCTTAGACCTTTTCTATAGATTTACAGATATTCTATTTTTAGATGTACCTTACATCTCTTTTACATCTCTTTTATCTATTCTTACCTATTTTTGTCTAGTGGGCATATCTTACATATTAGATACGTTTTAGATGCTTTTTAGGTATATTTTATGTATTTTATGTATATTTTAGAGATTTTTATATATATTATAAGCCCTGATAGATTTAATTCTCAAATTTTTTCCCAAGACTATAGATCTGCTTCACCACACGGAAACAGCAGAATTCCGTGATTTTAATTTTATTAACATTATTATTAAATCCCCGCACTTCCCTCCCTACAAACCCCCTCCAAACATGCCCACAGAGCTCCCAAAGTTTTCCAAGCACTAGCTGAACAGTCCCTGAAATTCCTTGAAGCCCCGAATTCCTCCTATTTCCCAGGCATTCGGTGCGGGCGAAATTCCGGTGGTGTCCCCTTTAAAGATCCGCCCGTTCCCACGTTTTGCTCCGCTCCCGAAGGTTTCCTTCCCAGGTTATTTTTAGGGATGAGCAGCTAATGATGAGGGAGGTCGCACGGATGGATCCTGCAAATCCCTGTTCCCTTGAATCCCTTGCAGCAAAGTCTCCTGGGAGGGGACATGGACATCGGCACCCCCGGAGCGCTGTCCCCGTCCAAGCCCGGCTCCCAGTACTACCAGTATCCCAGCAATAATCCGCGCCGGAGGCCTCTGCACAGCTCCTCCATGGGTGAGTGACCCCTGCACCTCTGGCCTCCCGCCGCTTCCTGAGGAATCCCACTCTAGCTGAGCGACGGTTGGGAAGGGACACAATAAGTGCTGCCGGAGCAACGCTCCCGGGCGTTATTGCAGCCTCGCCGAGCCTTCAGAATTCCCTGTTTTCCCCGAGCCTGAGGCAAAGCCTGCAACTCTTAACACCCACATCCCAAGTATTAACCATTTCCCTGCGTTTTCCCCCTGGAATTCTTTATTCCTTATTATTTCTTGTTCTTTATTTCTTGTTCTTTATTTCTTGTTCTTTCTTTGCTTGTTCTTTATAATTATTGTCACTCGCTGCAGCGGGAAAGGCACGAGCCGGCAAAATCCTGGGGCAGAAAACAGTGGAATCCCTAAAAATCCTGCTGGGAACAGACTGGGGGAGAAATTGCTGAGATCCCTAAAAAAATTCCTGCTTCATAAAGCAGCTTTTCCTCCCTTTTTTTTCCAGAAGTTCAGACAAAGAAAGTTCGGAAAGTTCCTCCGGGTTTGCCGTCCTCAGTAAGTATCGCGCGCTCCGGAGGCTTTGTTTGGGAGCAGGGGGATGGAAGGAGCCTGTTCCCGAGGGATGAGGCTCAGGGAAAGGTAAGGAATGCCCAGAGCCTCAACCTGGAAAGCTTGGAGCCGGGAATGTGGCGCTCCAGGAATGTGTTCCCCGGGAATGTGGCTCTCTGGGAATGCAGTACCTGCTCCGGGCACGTGCCCTTTGTGGGGCTGATTGATGGATCAGCGGTGGGAAGAATTAATGAGGAATTCCCTGGGAATCGTCCCCAGGATGCAGGAGAACTCCCCTGGCGTTCCAGAGGGATGCAGGATGGCAGCCCCGGCATTCCAGAGCTCCGGGAGCTGTGTGGGGGGGTCCAGGTGCCAAGCGCTGCCTTCCAGGTGTTCCAGAGGGTCATTAAAGCCCCTTATCGCGGTTTTCCCCCCGAATTCTCAGGAATATCCCCGAGCCCCTCAGTCTGTTGATGATCACAGGCACGTTTTGTCATGTTTTCCTGGAATTTTTCCATTTTCCAGCCAGAAATCGCTGGGTTTCTCCACAAAATCCTTTGTTCCACACTGCTAAGAATTCTACAATTAATTCCAATTTCTGGATTATTTTGTGAAATCTTCGTGGGGTTTTTTCCCCCAGAAACCATTCCAAAGTGCTTTCCTTTCAAATCCATGCAGATCTGTGGAAAAGCAAAGTCTTGTGAGAAATGACCCAACATTTCAGTCCCAAAATTATGGCTAAAATTGCATTCGATTGGAAAGTTTGAATTTTTATTCCAATTTTTTAGTTATCTTTAAAATATATTAATAATCATTTGCATCTTATTTGCAAATCAATATCAAATAAACCCCCCATGAGGGAAAATCTTCCCTTTCCTACCTGAGAAATCCCATTCTCTGGGCTCTGAATCTGATTATTAGTGGCAATTAATCTGTGGGAATACGTAATAAATTAATATTAGAATATATACAAATGAATCTCCCATGGATTTGGTGATTTTATCCAGAATCCCTGGATATTGGCAGTTGGCAAATACGTTTATATCTATAAAATATATCTAATTATAAAGCTCTAAATTATAAATATCAAGTTGCTAAATTACTTTCATTAATGATCACTTTATAATCAATAAAATTCCATTTAAAAGAGGGAAATACATCCACATTTCTTCCCATGGATTAATCAAATCCTGATCCAATGGATCAAATACAAACATTGTCAGTGGTTAAAATAGAAAATTATAGAAATATTCAAATACAGCCCCCAATCAAGGAATAACATCCATTATTTGGAATTAAAAACCATGTCCCAAAAGTGCCTTTGGAATTTCTTTCCCTCGGAGCTTTTTGGGGCTCGATTTTCTTGGACACTTGAAATGCTTGGAATTATGTCATGAGGAAATCTGCCATCCCAGCTATTCCTGAATATTGGAATCCCTCAAAACTCCATTTTCTGGGAATAAGTGGATCAAAAGGTAGGTCCTGGAAGGGGAATAAAAGCACAGAATGATGGAAATAGGGACTTTTTGAAGGGGAAATGGGGAGATTTGGGGCATTTTGGGTTCCAATATCCTGGAATCACATCTTTAATTTGGAATTTAATTAGGATGGACACACGAATCGACATCCTTAGTGGGTGGAGTGGGAATGTTCTGGGATTTCTCTTAAAATGTGGCTTTTCCCATGGGATTTGTGCCGGGAACAGGGAGCAGTATCGGTGAATAGCCCTCACTTATCGGGGGTTACATCAGCAGCAGGTGGAAATTCCAGGGATACACGGGAATAAATGTGCTGGAGCAGCTCCTCCTTTAATCGGGAAGCGGCGGTGAGTTTGGAAAACAAAATCCATGAAACAATGGGAACAATCAGTTGGCAAATAAGGAATTCCAGGTGAACAGGGGGAGACTCTTAGGAGGGGTTTCAGGGGGTGATCCCAGGCTGGGATGAGCTGGAATCCAGGTGTGGATTCCCAAAACTTGGTCAGGATGTGGCTGCGTCCCTCAAAACCCGCCCGCTTTTCCAATGCCGTGGGATGTTCCTGGTCACCGCCGGAATCCGAAGTGCTCTGGGGTGGGGATTTGGGATTGGCTTCATCCAGCATATTCCCAGGGTTGGATCTTCCCAGGTGGAGCTTCTCCCACCTCGGAGAGGTTTTCCGTGGTCCTTCTCTGTGGACACTTTTCCTTTACAATTCCAAGGCCTCCTGCTCCCGGGCCTCCGTGGGCAGAGGCATGGATGTGGTGGATTCCGGTTTCCGGCAGATCCCACATCGTGCTCGGCCCACGGAGAAGGGATCCATGGAGAAGGAGCTACTCCAGCTTCCCCCCCACTGGGAGCAAACCCTGAGTAGGTGATGGCGTCGTTCTGGTACCCCAGCTCTCCATCCGACCGGATCCTTGGAATTCCAGGAGCAGCACTGAGGGGGATGTTTGGAGAGCTGCTTTCCTGGGATTCCCTGGAGGTGATTCGTGCTGGGAATGGGTGATCCTGGAGGTCTTTTCCAATCTGAACTGTTCCGTGGTTCCGTCCTTGTTCCCTCCCTGAGGAGCTGGAGTGTCCCTGAGTGTCCCCAGTCCCGGGATCCTCGGGTGGGAGAATTCCTTAGGTGTGGAGGCTCCTCACATGGAACCATCTCCTTGGAAGTGGCTCCTGGGTGAGGGACCTTTCCCTAAAATCCAGCCTGGGTGAGGGATCCCGCTCCAGGGGTCTTTGAGGATCAGTGGGATGGGTGAGGCCTCCTCGGCACAGAGAGGCCCTCCTGGACACAGATCCAAGGAAAGGAGGGAAAATGGGAGCGAAAACTTGGAAGCATCTCCGTGGTGTTGTTTTAAAATGGATTAAGAGGCACAAAAATTCCCATAAAAATTATTTGGCAGATTTTGAGGAATTGCACGGGATATCCCCAACATGGAAAAGCAACTGGAATGGGATGTGGATGCTCCAGTATTTGTATTTTCCTGGGAAATCGACCCATTTTGGGATATTGAAGTATTTTGGACTCCCAAAAAATCTCTCTCAAATCCAGGAGTGAATCTTCCTGGTTGGGATTAGTGGGATCTGGTTTAGCTGGGACAGAGACTCCCTCTTCAGTAAACTGTGGGAAGTGCACAAGGATTCAGGAAGGATTTGTCCAAAAAATTCCAGGTTCTTTCAGAATTCCTGCAAAACCAGACCCAGGGGCTCCAGGGCAATATTTTTAAGGAAGTTCCTTGAAATTTGGAACCAGGAATTCTGTTTGTTCTTTAAGATGAGGGTCCAGAAAATACCTTGGATATAAATTAATATTAATTAAATATAATGAATAAATATTGAAATCCGTAGGAATTCCATATCCAGCTTCCAACACTTTGTTTCTCTAATTACATCATTTATAATTTGATTTTCTTGTGGGAATTCAGCTTAGTTTCCCAAGTGGAAACCCTAGGACTTAATTGAATATAGAAACACTCCAATCCTCTCTTGGATTTGGCTCTTCCCACATGGATTTGGGAAAGGAAGGATTCTGGGGGCAGGGATGGATTCATTTCATCCCTTTATTTGATTCCTCGAGGTTTTTCTTCCTGTCCAGAAGGGATTGGACATGGGATGGGAGTGGAGGGCGGGATGCTAAGGAAGGAGTTATCCCTGGAAGGGAGAAGAATTCCTTCCCAATATCCCATCTAAACCAGTGGGAAGCATTCCCTGTGTCCTGTCCCTCCATCCCTTGTCCCAAGTCCCTCTCCACCTTCTCCTGGAGCCCCTTTAGGCCCTGGAAGGGCCTCCAAGGCCTCCCTAGGACCAGGACCAGGATTAGGAGCAGGAGCAGAACCAAGGCTGGGACCAGGACTGGGAGAAGGAGTGGGACCCGGGACCAGGAGTAAAACCAGGATGAGGATTAGGAGCAGGAGCAGGGGCTGGGAGTGGGAACCAGGCCAGGAGCAGGACTGGGGTCTGGACCGGGAGCAGGAACAGGACTGGGAGCAGGACTTGGAGCAGGAGCAGGATTAGGAGCAGGACATGGAGTGGGACCAAGAGCAGAACTGGGATTAGGACCAGGAGCAGAAGCAGGAGCCGGAGCAGGCCTGGGATCGGCAGCAGACGGGACATTCCCTGTTCCCCTCTCTCCTCTTGGTTCCCAGACCCCTCTGAGGCCCAGCTCCCGGGATTGTCCCTGTGCCAACCCCGTCCCCTTCCCCCGCTCCCGCGGTGCTGCAGCCGCTCGGCGCTCCCGGTTCATTTGGGATTCAGGGAGGGTGTTTTTTGTGGAAAGGCGTTTCCCTCGCTGACCCCGGAGCATCTGTTCCGATTATTTTTTTCCCAAGCCTCCTTTGGCATTGGGGAAGTGTTAATGTCTCTCGGATCTGTTGAACGCTATTTAGGGATATTTATGATCACCTCTTGCTTTCCGGGGGGAAAGTGTGCTGGGATTTTTCCTTCCCAGGCAGCCGGGGAAGGCTTGGGATGAGGGAACAGCTTGCTTGGAACATGTGCTTCCCGTGACAGTAAAAAGAACAAATCCCATCCATTTGGGGGAATCGATGCGCAAAGCGGGAGCTTTAGGCCTGGCCTGACCTGGAATCGCTTCCCAAATTCCATGTAAAACTCGACGAGGGGGATCTGTCGGTGTTTTCCAAGCAGTTTCGCTGCTTCCAGCCTCCGCTTTTGCCTCTTATATTGGGGAAATTGGAGCATTGGATACTCCTTCCTGATCCTTAAAGCAACGAGGAATCAGGAAGGAAGGGCTTGGAAAAGTGAATGGATTCAAAGGGAGGAATTGTGAAACCCTGGAATGGTTTGGGTTGGAATTATAGTCGTGGAATGGTTTGGGTTGGAATCACAGTGGGTTGGAATCATACAATCCTGGAATGGTTTGGGTTGGAATCACAGTCCTGGAATGGTTTGGGTGGGAAGGGATTTTCAGGACCATCTCATTCCACCCCCGCCATGGACAGGGACACCCTCCACTATCCCAGATTGCTCCAACCTGGCCTTGGAAAATTCCAGGGATGGAGCAGCCACAGCTTCTC